AAAAATATTTGTAATAAAATAACAAAATATATAACAAAAACTTGGACCGCGAACGAACCAAAAACCAAAAAATTTAAAACTGCACTTAACGTCATTTTTTTAACGACTCAAAGAAACTTTGGAAGTCAACCAACAAAATTGAAGCGATGTTGAAAGCAACAACAAGCAGCAACAATAAAACAGATATTCTAGCAGACTAGAAGTTCAACTTTGCCTGGACAAAATAATAAAAGTATTATAAGTATTCAATGTATAATTTTATATTTTAAGTAAAATATAACGAGATAACAATTAAATTAAACTGATTAGTACCACAAAAACTAATTTTGCTAACAAATAAATAGACAATATTTTTTTAAAGTAAGTACGAAAAATTTACAAAATATGACTAGTTGGTAACTTTATTATTTTCGTCAATAGATTCGAAACTTAACAAAAGATGGTCGCTCAGCTGCAAATGTATTTTTTGATCAGAGTATTTTAGGTTTTTGGTATATATAAAAACTCTAACATAGAAATATACTAACAATATAGATATGTATATTTTTTGGTTATATTGCTTTGTCTTCGGCTTACCCAGTTTAAATGTCTGGTATTTGCTGAGTGGATGAGACCCTCCAACCCTGATTCAATCGTAAAAATATCTAGGAGTGTATAGTTTTTTGCTAGTCTATATATATTTTTCATGACAAAAGTTTTCCTGAATTTCATTGGAAATGTATAAGTAAGGTTTTGAATGATCAAGTATTAACTGAGTAATAACATCTTTAAAAACAAAAATAATCAATTAATGAATATGTAAATATGTGGAATTATTTATACATACCTATAGATATATTAGTTTTGGTGCTCAAATTGTAAGGTTTTAAAGCTAGTACTTATTACACCTTGCTTCCTAGTTTAATTTACAATTCAATTTTTCATTTATGTTATGATTTAAATCAAAAACACAGTAATTTATAATAATAATAATTAAAAATCTTGATGATATTTTATCCTATAGCGTTTATTTTAGCAACACCAATCACTATACAAAATGGCTTGAGCAACAATTTATACCTTAATTTACAAATAGAAGCCTAAATGTCTTATATTTAAACAATTTAGTATTTTGATTCAATGATTTTATTCTGTTACTATGGTATGGTATAGGCGATTATAAAGAACATTATCTTTGATGGTACATAGGGTCTTGTAACATTTCACAGTTTAAGTTATAATAAAAAAATCATTTCAATATTATATGATAGTACGTAACTTAAAAAAAAACAAATTCGCATCTATTTTAACAAACATAAAAATTAAAAGACGTTCAGACATCAAAAATATACGACATACCTAAAATAATTTTCAAAAGTTGCTCGTACTCTTTAATAGCTGTAATTGAAAAAGACTTGAGTTGAGACTTAATACTAAATTAAGAGATCAAAGTCGAAGGGTTTCATGAATATAAAAGTTAGATTAAGAAATATTCAAACATATTTCAGAAAGTTGAAATCTAAAAAATGGATTATACTAGCATGATGTACTTGAACAAATGAGATATAATTCTTATCTTTAAGAATCCCAAAAATATTCGATTAATTTGAAGGGTGTCAATTTAAATGTCTTATATACGAAAGCCAAAATATGATGACGTATGTTGACTATAAAATATTCGGCCATAAAAGACCACACTTTATATTTATTTATATGTGTGTGTGTGTGTGTGTGTGTGTGAGTACTGTGTATGTATGTGTGTATAACTCAAATAAAATAAAACTGTTAGCGTGCCATAACTGGTAAGGCCTTATTTAATTTTATAATATTCATAAAGGTACATATATTTTTAAACAATCTCTTACATAAATTATAAAAGATTAAAGATATAAACTGTAATTAAAAAATAATAAAATATTTTTTGAAGGTTTAGTTACAATATTTAACCAATACTATTAAAAAAGTTAAATGCGTCAATACACCTTAATTATGTAAATTATCACACATTATTTACTATAGTTGCGTGAATAAATTATATGACTTTATTATCACAAATAAAAATCTTGAAAGAAACAAATTATGATTGAAATAGTAAAATGTAAGAAATGACATGCAGCTTACAAATAATTTATCGAACAATAATAATTATTAAATTTATATATAAATAATCACTTCATCATCGCCCCGGCATTCACCCAGTTACTTGCCATCGGCTCAATATGTACTTTTCTGTTCGTAGTATGAAATGTTTTGCCTTATAATTTTAGGATCGGCCGTATGCTAGACATCAACTCTTTTTGAGAAATAGTCGTTAATGGAATACTACTCATTTTCGGCTTGTGGCAGAACTGTACAGATTCCATTGTTAGGTTTCTGTAATGTGTTGCGGCCAACTCCAAATATTGTCCTTAATCTCCGTTTACGAAATCCAAATTCATGTATTCATATCTAAATGTATATTATTTCTTACGTACGTAGTAGAAAACAATTGTTACATATATACTTACTGAATATCTCTTTCTACAACAAACGCTCTATATACATATCTTGTGTCGACGTAAAGCAAAAGTTTACTCAGATAATCTTTATAAGAGTCAACAGTCAGAGAAATTCTAAAGTTGTACAATTTGTACAGAAAATAGACTCAGAAGAAAATTAAGAATTAAAGTAGGATTTTGAGAGATTATTCACCAAACAGTGACTTATAGGTACTTTTGCTGTATGTATGTTGACATAAATTACGCCAACTTACGTAAATATACGTAAAAGAAAAAGTAAAAAAAGTACTCAAACATATGCCAAGAACTACAAGTTCGCTGTTTTCAAACGCCTAAAAGTTGAAAAACAAAAAGAAATTTAAGAAGAGCTTAGTAGTATTTAATTTTGACATTGACTTCTGTGTGAACAAGAATAAAGTGGGCTCACTCGAATTGAACATTCCATGAAATTAAATTTGGTTTTCTATTTGCACAATGAAACTATCGCCACTTTTATAACTTCTACGTGGTCTGTTGACCAATCGAATGTCCTGCCTAAAGTTGTAGCTGGGGTGATTTATTGATAGAATACTTCGGCAACTGAAGCTAAGCTCGACACTTATAAATGTTAATACAATTACATTAATGGTGAATACCCTTTGTATCCATTACATTTAGCTTGTCTTATATTCATAACTAATACATATTTCGTTCAAATTAAAATATTTTTTGTATTTCATGTCTCGTACATTTCTTCGACATTATTTTTGAGATATATAAATGTAATTTACTAATTGAAGTCTATTATAATGAAAAGCAAAAAAATGTAGGACTTATTTTATCAATTTAATAATAACTTAGGGCTCTGACAACGAGGAAAATAAGTCAAAACATGAGACTCAGGGAAATCAACTGATGACGAAAATTTAAATAACCTGTTGCAACTCTCACCTTAAAATTATCAGATTCTATTTATATAAAGATCTTTTTTTAGAATAATTTCCTTCAACGTGTAAAGTAGTTTATTGGCAATTGGACGAATATAAGATTTTTTTAGTATCAATGAATAAAACAACATTTAAAAAAGTAGCTAATCTTAATTTGTTTTTCTTTAAATAAAAGTTTCTGGTTAGGAAATGATATGGTAAACAAATAGTTTTTACTGTGTAGATCACAGGTTTATTACACACTATGAAGTTCCTTACATATCAAGCAGCAAAGATTTAGTTAACGAATACTCTGTTACTGAGATACAATATTAACCACCTATGGTTACTTTTGCACCAAGTAACAAATAAAATGATAGTTTAGAAGTATCTGGTGGATATTTAAAAGAAAAGTATGGATGTTCATAAGCAGTTACTCTAAATGTAATAAAATAAATTTAATCACTGTATGTTAATTATATAATGCTACATTTGTAACACATGTTAAAGTAAGTAAATTATAGAAAGATAGTACAAAACAGCGCTTATCGAATTATCAATGTCTGTTTTGTCTATTAAACTAAGTACATATATACAAGAGTGGCTCCCCTCCTCGATCGCAGACAAGTCATCCTTCCTTTTTCTAAAAATTAAGGTGAGGCATCAAACAAACGAAAATAGAAATAAGCTTATTGTATTTTGTTTTCACATTTGTTTAGGCGTTGTAACAGTTTCAGCTTTTGTCAAAAAATGTTACTTGTAATATATTTCCCATGAATGAACTTCCCAATCCAATTTTTCTTACGTCAGCTTATATATATTTAAATTAAATTTTGACAATACTGAAATATTCAAATGTATTTCAATGTGATTTTATTTTCTTTGTACTTTTATATAATACCGACCCAATATTAAAAATATAATTATTTCATATGACATTTATACAATCTTTGTATATTAAATATCAGAGTGTTTTATAAAATTATGTCACAAATATAAATGAAAATAATTAAAATGAACTTTAATTTTATTATAAATTCCATCTGCTCATCAAAAATTCGACATTTTCATATCATTACGTTACAGACGTCCAGATAATTGCTGAGTGACATCAAACCGCAAAATTGAATTAATGTCTAAATCAATGTTGATGTGAGAATATTAATCAGGTATTGATTATTCATATTATACAATAATATTAATAATGTTATTACAATTATAATAAACTAACAGATTATATTGACAAAGAAATAGGACAGTACCAAACTAAAGGCAGCAGCCACCTTGATAAATATTTTTTCCAATCAATTTAAGCAAAATACCAAACGAAAAGAATACACGTCACTCAAAAAGTGATTAATTTTATGAAATAATTCCGTCCGCTTCGTCCCCATTGAGGAGACATTATTAATATGAAGTGCTTTCAATTTTTTGAGTAGTCATTGTATAAAAATTGTGTCAAAACAAAAGAAAATCTTATCTCTTAATTAAATATTAATTATTACCTTTTAAATAAATTCAAAATTATTTTTACCGTTCCAATACAATTGTACGGAGAACCCTTGCCATCTGGTGAACCTCAAACTTGAAATTCAATCAAACTTTGGGAATAACTTACCTTCTCATGTACTGGAATTTGATCACTATGAAGATGAGCAGAGTGTTTGCAGACAGGGAAGCAGTCAGCACCACGACATAGAGAACGATGATGACAACATCGGGATTGTAGAATACATCCAGGTCCAAGGGACTAACTTCCCACACTTCACTCCCATTCCAACCGATTGACGAATTTAAAGTTCGAAAAGACATTTTATCATGTGATAATTAAATATATATTATGAAACCGATCATAGTGTTACAGCACTCAAACACATAGTTCGTTCAAATATTTACTCAGCTCTCAGTTCTATAGTAATTCTCATTTTATGTTTATTTTGCAGAAAAATATAATATTAACTGTTACACACAACGCGTTCTGTAGTTCTGTATCAATAAAGATATGTTAAACATTAGCCTTGCTGTTCAAACACACATATTTACACGAGTTATATTTATTAAGATGATTATTAATTAAAATGAGATGTTTTAAAATCTTTGGTGTTCTTTTACACAAAATGAATACTAGCTCTTAATAACAATTAGTCGAACTTCAAAATAATTGCTATCAATTAATATTAGTCAACGAAATGTCCCTTAAAATTAAGATTACTTTGCTGAAAGGGTCATTGAATTGATTTTGGACGAAGTTACAAATTTTAGATTTTAAATTTGTTAACAAATAAAGAATATTTTTTCATTGTCTTGAGGGTTTTCACTAAAGAATACGATAAACAACTACATATATAACACTCGTTCTTGTCTGAAACTAGTATATCTAAAATATTTGTCTTGAATATTTGTTTTTTTTTTTAACAATGACTAACAATTTATATTTGTAATATAAAAATAACTTGTGAATATTCTTTTATTGTTTGAGATCAATCCAATTTGTATATTATAAAATTCTTTTTCAGCTGCAGACTTATAAGAAAGGTTGACTTATTATTCTCAGATTCTTAAAAGATAGGTTACTCTTTTATATTCGCTAATGTTTAAAGTATTAAGCAGTTATTGGAGTTCTTAACTACTATGTCTTTTCTTTACATTATCTGCTCTAATAATATCTTTTCAATGTAATGAAAAGATTATTTTCTTATAATAATGTTTCTTTTATTCTTTGTATCCTCTCAAACAAAAAAAAATATTTCATTGTTAAAAAAGATACTGGTAACGATACTATAATCATTTTTATGTTAAAAATTATCATTTGATGTGATCGGAATATTAATATAAAATTTAATTTATTTTATTTGTTCGAAAGAAAAATATTTCCTCTGTTTCTTCTTATAGGGAGTAATAATTAAACGAGTATGCTAGTTTTTGATGTGGATGTGATATGTATATTATTATTATTATTATTTCAAGTTAAATTATTCTATAATCAAGGCCAAAAGATAGAATTCTAACATTGTTAAACACTTTGACTTCAGAGGATAAGTAAAATGATTCAATTTGTTCTCTATCAAAAGAAGCTAAACATTTTTAGCTGTATATTGGTATATAATTCCAACTGCAGGACATTTTAAATACATTTTTATAACTGGTAGAGTTGACCAATACCTTCTTTATTTGAAGTAAAACAGTGTTACACAAGTTTTGTATGATTTATGTACAAAAGAATTTTATTATGATAAAATTGAAGTCACTCTACGTAGTTATAATTCTAAGTAACATATATTTTAATAATTTCTCTTGTCTTATGGCTCTTTGATCTGAGTTTCATGAAAAATAAATGTATTAAAACCTTTCATATTAGATTTTTGGTGTTTGGGAAATTTTATTATCCTTGTGTTTTGTTATAATTTATAATTATGTTTTTATACGTCTAAAGAAGTAAATAATATTTGGGTAAAGATATCAAGATCTTATAAATACTTGAAAATTTACTTGTTATAAATGACTTTCACTTTGACTCCAACAAATATTTTAATCTAATAAAGGGTATAGAACCAATATAATCGTCAAAATATTTCAAACTGATATTAAAATTCCTCTCTCCGTAAGTGAAACCTTTTTGAAAAAAAAAACTTCAAGTTAAGGCCAGAGTATATAATTTAAATAAAATCATAGCTATAATATTTATTACTTTTTCTTTTACCTTCGTATATACTAAACAAATATTTTTAAGTAAACCCCGTGAATCAAAATTTTCTTTTTACCAAAATAAAAGTAAAGTTTTGAAATATTCAGCAAGAGTATGTAGTTATAAAATTGTAAAAAATGCGTTGAAAACTTTTCTTTTAGTAAAATGAATACACTTAAAAATTATAGACCTATCTTTTCTATCAAAATAATATTTATAAAATTCAATATAAAAAAAATATTTCAATATATTTTTCTGTCACTCAATATAATAATATACATATTCCTTACATTACATGAGACCATTTAATGTTGACATTAACATGGTATATGGTGTCCACATACAACGTCACGGCCTCAATATAGTATCGAAGTAAATTTTGTATACAACATGCTGTTTTATTTGATAATAAAATAGGAAGACACGAGAAGTTCGTGCCTCAGAATATTAAACGTCAATCGGAATATGTATTCTATATTACTTTCACTCTCAAATTTGTTCAAACATCTGTTGTAATTGTATTTAAGCGACATGTTTCGGTTAAACGTACATTTTTATAAGATTTTTATTCGAAATGTTATAATATTAGGAGAATTTTTTTTATTAAAATATATCATAATTTGCCTGTGTAGCTCACCTTTATTTTTTGAATATTTTTAAAGCAAAAGGAATTTTATTTCAGTAAGGTTTTAAAGGAAAAATTGTATGGCATTGTGATTAGAAATATGTATTTATGAAAATCTTCAAAACAATAAGATAAATTTAATCAAATTGATTCCCATTTTTTTGTTTTATCTTCCATTCCGATAAAAAGAATACAAGTGAAATAGCTTTGTTATATTAGTAATTCATATTAGGAGTTCAATTTGATCGTCGGTAAGCCTCGTTCTAGCCAACTACTTAACCCAGTGAACAATACGTAGTACATACTAATGAATGGCTTTTGTTTTGTTCTTCACAAATTTGGTTTTCAATAAGGTATGATTTTTTATTAAACTTAAGGTATAGTAGAGTTACATAGATCGGGTTTAAGAAGTAAACGAAACAATTTGTAATATCAATGAAAATGTTGACAAGTAATGTATTACAAAAAACATAGAGCAAGATGGAACATTTAAAAATTTTAGGTTAATACTTAAAAGTCATATTTGAATACAGTAAAAATTTTCATTATTTACTTGTTACCGGTTTTTTGACTGGAGAAAAAAGCCTTACTTTGGTATGAATGGAAGATTAATTGTTTAAGAACAGCAATTTAACGGCACTGTGCTATTTTTTACACTAACAATTTTTTCATGACAAAATATTAGTCATAATTAAGAATCACATTATATGAAATAGGTTAAGTTTGGTAATATTTGATCATCATTTCATGTAACACTATACTTTCGTAAGTAAAAAATTTTCTTAAGTCTATAACGCCTTAAGTGATTTACGATAAAATAAATCAAAACCTCCCGAAAGAAACATAAAACTTAAATTTCGGCTCTTAACAGGCTGTGAAAATGACTAAGTAATAATTTACGAGGCTAAGTATTCTAGAAAATACTGTGGAAAGGCTTCAACCCACGTAAAGTTTGCTTCAGGGAAAAATAAACCGGTTTATGAACACGCTAGCGTCTGTTCTGACGCTGTCTGTTACAAATGTTTAAGTTAGTTTCGTCAGTAATTTGCCATATATAAACTTTTGAAATGCAACTTATGTACATTGTAACTGGTAATGGTGAAGTTAAAAAAAATGAAGAATCAAATAAAGCATTCAATATGTTTTCTATCATCCGTACACAGGCTGAATAAGGAAGAGAATGCAGTCACAATCTACTTATTAATAGATATAATTATTCCGCATTTTAAATGGCCTAATAAAATTCAACTGACTATTCAATTTGTAATATAAGTTTATTAAGAAATTATATGTATGTGTAACAGGTAAAAAATAATTTAAAAAACACGTCCTGGTATGCGCTGAATCTTCTATGGAGAGTATATTGAGTTGGCATTTTCAATACTTACTTTATTCCTAAAATTTTTGGCCAACAATTTATATCTATACATGATAATGCATATAATTAACCTGTTATTATTCAGAAGGAATTAATAAAAACAAATATGCAGAATAATAGGAAACATAAACTCTATAAGACATTGTCAAGACTCTTAGTAGTGAGTCAAGTTGATTGTTCCGAACAAACGGAGAGGAAACGTGTTAATTAACCTAAGAAGATTTCTTTATTACTGAGTAATATAAATTGTCCCATCCTCACAGCATTTGTTACATCAGTTTGACTGTCACACTCTTGACAGTATTATATCTCCTAAATAAGAGATAATTTGTAAGAAGTTTTTGAACGAATAATAAACAATTTCAGAGATTTTTTTTCAGTATTACAAATTGTATATTTCTTTTTAGTGTTCTATTGACGAATTGAAAAGATGGCTCCCGTTGTAGTATAAGAAATATATTTAAATAAAATCAATGAAGGTAGCGTCAGTAATCTCATTCTCAAACATTTGATGGAGATTCAATGTTACGTGTCATGATTTTTTAGCAAAACTAAGTTCTGCAGCATATACATATTTTGACTTTGAGATATTTTTAAACGATGAAACCATTGTATTTACATCCTTTATGTACCTCCCAATGGAGGTTTTTAATACAGTTATTTATTTTATGTATATTTTTAGCTTGATAAAAATATTTTAATTTATTTTGCTTATGCAGTTTATTAATTTTAGTACAATAACGTAATCACAATGTTCCATATAAAACAACTTTCTTCCTATCAAAAAGAAAAGTTATTCGCTATTCTTACATTATATAATCTTCAATGACTTACAATATGTCTACAATTTGTGTATACATATATGATTTAAAACATAAAATATTTATTTGTTCTGAACATTCCCAAACCATTGAGAAGATTGCCATGAGTCGAAGTGGCTTGTTTGTACGCCCGCGATTTCTAAATTAGTACCACTATTTCACGGTAGATGACGCACCAGATGTTTCAGCAAATGTATTTATTGTTATTTTGTTTATTATAAAGAACAAAGTAACGAGCAATTACTTTTTAAAACATCTAAATGCTTAATTTAATACTTGAATCACTTAACATAAAGGCGAATA